AGCCATTAATACCCATACATTCAAATAAATTTTCATTCTATTGAAAATTATTGAAATTCATAAAGTATATTCATTTAAAATTCTATTTTTATATTCAATACGATCAGAAAAGATTCAAGAATTCGTATATAATAGCAAACCATTAATACCTACTCATTCAAATGGATTTTTCTCTATTGAATATAGTATTCATTAAATGCCGTGCGTTTCATGGATTTAAATCCTCAATTTTAACACGCCAATTAACGATTGTTAGCGATTGTATAATATTCATGAGAAAATTATTGAATCTATGACGGCGGGCCATATAATTTCAAATTTCAAATAAATAATTTTTTTTTTTAGTATTAAGACCGACAATGGAGTTAAAACCGTTTCCCGTGAGCTGTGGGAACCGAGTCAAGTGTCGCAGGGAAATTTTCCTTGACAACCTCCAAACGGCAATAAAATCTAGTCCAAATTTATATAAGCATGCATTCTTTTTTTTTATTACGCTCTTCCGCCCGTCGCACTTGCATACAAAGTGCATGCAGCCTCCGAACACGTGGGCGCCGAGATGCTGATAAAAGAAGAGGGCCATAAAATCATGACTAACGAATTTTTCCCTTTCAAACTAGAAATTAAGCATTAGAAATTACGATATAATTTTTTTTCTTAATTTGAATATTTTAACTTCAACAATATGTCAGAAATAATTTTGGCCTCTCAAAACCTCTTATCGAGTTTTCGCTCCGGAGCTTAGTTTTAAGCAGAAAATAGAAAAATACAAAAATATACGTTAATTTTAATGAATTCAATGTTACTCAGTAAACTTTTATTATAAGAAATTAATCTACACAGCGTAGCGTGCAAGATAATAAGCATCGCTCTATTTTTTAATAAATTTTATTATTACATAATTATTAATAACTATATTTTGCAGCGAATTTAATTATAATATTGATTGTTAATATAAGTAGTGTATAAGCTATGTATGGTCGATTATATTTATTCCGACTTCGGTTATTAATAATTACAAAATTTTAGACAAATCTTGGCTGCGAATGACACTCGAGGAGCCATCTCACGAGCTAAGGCCTGTACCCTTGCGTCCGCGCCCCCGATTTTCTCCACGCCCCCGCTCCAATCAGGTCCCGAAAATCCAGCGAGGAAAATCAGAAGAGACAAACGGGCCAATTAACGCACCATTGCCTGCTCCACTCCTCCCGAAACCGAGAAGCTGAGATAGGGACTCACCACCCAACTACCCACCTGATATAAAAAGGACTGTACAAGACCCAAAGGGCAGAGTGTAAGAGAGAGTTTGAGTACCAGTGAGTGAGTGCTGAAGGAAGCACAAGGATCAGTTAACCAAGAAGTAAAGCAACAAAGCCGCAAAGAAGACAAACAGATCAAGAAAAGACTGAAGGAAGCACAGGAGTCAGTAAACCAAGAAGTCAGATCCCAACCAAGAGTCTAGACAAGAAGTGAGTGAAAGAGCCAAGCAGACAAGAAGCCAAGAAACCCAAGAAGCGGAACAAACAAAACAAAAAAAATCGACTAATGTAGAATAAGGATCCGCAAGTAAGTGTAAAGTTTTCAATAAAAAAAAGAGTAAACAAACAAAATTTTTATTTTTTGTAACTTATCTATCTCCCCTCTATCTTAGAAACAGCTTGTGATTCGAAAATTCTTCCCTTTTTTGTATTTAGAGACTACTTTTGATAGGCTCCAAGTACAATTTGTAATAGGAAAACTGGGTTCTACTATTGATAGGACCCAGGATACTTCGCGCTCTCGAATTACAACTATTGATTGGAATCCAAGTGCAGAAGTATAGGTTTAGTGGCACTGTCCCCCTCGGTTTTAAAAATTTTCGATTGGTGATCTCGCTAGTTTATGCGAGAAATCGCAGTACTAGCAACAACAGAACCCTGAGACTACGCCAAGCCTCAGGTGCACTTGAAATGTGTCGTTGCCACGACGTCACAAATCTAATTAAAATCTATTAGTTTAATGGTAAATTTTTATATTGAAGATGATTCAAAAATAATAAACTTCAATGGAATGCAATAGTAATCTATTTTACTATAATTAATAGAATTCAATAGCTCGAGAAATCTTGTTTGTTTCTGAATAATCCTTAATGGTCATTTTGAGTGTTCAGATCGAAAATTGAAATTTATTGATCAATTGTTCAATGGTTTTTAACGGAATTATTTCAACAGAAAATTTTGATATGTACTTTTATTTGCCCAGAAAAAATTATAACCTCAAAATTTCAAAAATGTACAACTTGTGACGGTAAACGTCCGGTTTGCGCTACCGTCTCGATCGCGTGGCTACCCGCGAGGGCAGCACCGACCGGCCCAGGCAAATCGAAAACGGGAACTCGGTCCGAAATGGGAAGGAACGCGTAAAAAGAGAAAAGGACCAGTAGGAGAGCGCCTCTGACACCGGTAACAGCGTGCAGGAGTCCAGGAACACTAGCGCTAGAGTTGTGCGGCTATCCGAAAGTCGCGAATAGCGTGGCCGAATCTAGAAGTGCCTCTATCACCGGCAACGACGTGCATACGTGTGAACGCCACAAGGAGCGTGAACGTTAACCGGCCGATAGTTCTTTGTTGCTGCTGCGAATTCGAGTGGCTAGCCGAGACGCCATCGGAGGCCAGCCACGAGGTTGCCAAATCCGTCCAACGGAAGCAACACGACGACAGTGAGAGCCTCGTGTTTAAGCGGAATAGTGGCAACCTGAGCCACGCGCTAAACTACGATATTGAACTTCTCCCCTTGACAGCGTGATTAATCGCATAAGGTAAGCTGGCCAGCTTCGCGTTATTGTTTTCGATAAGTGACCGCGCGTAACATCTTAGCTCTCCCCTCACACCGGCGAATATAAGGAAATCGTTAGCGAGCATGCAAATGAGTAAGCGAACGATTGTAAATGGATCGACGATGCATGATTGTCGCGCGCGCTGCGTAAACATAAACACGTGGGCCAAGTGCGTTGTAGATTACGTGATAAAGAAACCAGTCTGTATATGATTTTACTGTTATCATTTCTTGCTAGTAGTAAGTTGGTTGACTGGCTCCCGTCCCCTCCTGCTCTCCGGTTAACGAATTTGAATATTTGGATATCACCGCGTGCGTCTCGGTACGATTGCGCGTCGAACGAATTATCGGAATAAAAACGGAGCATCCACCCCGTTACAAACTTCAATAAACAAAACACTATCAGGAATTTATAAAAACCTAAAATATAATGAATCCACATTGATTATAAATATTCCAAAAATGTGAATATCAATTTTAAAGTTTTAATATTTATTGAAAAAAATTAAAGATGTGATTTAGTGAGCTTTTAACAAGCTTTATGCTATCAAAATGTTGTAATATTCTGATCGTTGGTTCTATTTTATTTATTAGTTAAAAAGTGAGGAAATAGAATTTTCAATATATTTGCCTATAAGAAGCATAATTTTTGTTTTCTTTTTTTTTTTGTAAAAATGAGATAGAACTAAGAAGCAATATTTCACGAAACTATGAAACTTTGATAGAATGAAACTTTTTAATTTCTGAAGCACTTATCGTGTTAAAAGTTATAGGTAAATTCGTGGCTTGAAAGCTCTATGAACGAAATTGTTGTTAAATCGGTGCTGCGGTGCGATGCTGCTTCACTAAATCGTATCTCTATTTTTTTCCAATGAATATTAAAACTTTCAAATTAATATTCACATTTCTGAGATACTTATAAATAATGTGGAATCATTATATTTTGGGATTTTGTAAATTAATAACAGAGTTCTGTTCATTGAAATTATGCATTTTTGAAATTTTGACGTTATAATTTTCTCTAAACAAATAAAAGTACATATCGAATTTTGGTAAAAACTGCAAGGAAGTTGGCCATTTAAGAAATGCGTCAAAATTTCTTCGCTTCAAAAAATCAACAATTTTCTTAATTCTATTGAGCTAAACGCAGTAACCACCTTTATAATATACGGGAGCCGGAGTTGAGAATCTCGTCAGTAGAGAACTCTTAAAAAACGTTTCAATCCAGTAACTGCCTTACAGTACTTGACTTAATTTTGCCAGAATTTTCATTAAGGTTGTCGTAAAGTGTTTAGATTAATCTAACTATAAGTACTCAATAACTTTAAAAAACTCTTCGAACTACAAATTCCTATATATATATATATATATATATATATATATATATATATATATATATATAGGAATTTGTATATATACATATATATATATACACACAGATGCATTTGGGGAAAAAGAAACGAGTACAGATTTACTTGTTATAACAGAAAAAAATGTTATAGGCTGCTAATTGGAATTAATAATATGCTAAAGTCTATTTTTAAAACTCAAATTTTCTCTATGATGACACAACTAAAAGAAGATGTCATTTAAAAATTGCAGATATTTGACAATACTTTGAAATCATATTTATGGATACCAGACAATACCATCTATCTATGAACTATAAATGATAGCTTATCTTTGGAGCTAATAATGAAAAATATTGAATTTAACTATTTGTTTCATTAATTATAACAATAAACATAGTAGTTGAAATGTTCTATTGTTATTATTTCTGAATAATATATCTCTCCATAAAACTACGTATTATTTTTCAAATCTTAAATTGAAATAACTTTGGTTACAGCTAATTAGGAATTGCGATCTTTGATAACATTGAAAACTTGAATATACATTTTAAGCATTTCTTGTTACTTTTGATTTGTAACCAACACTAGTTTCATATCAATGAAGTAGGGTAATAATAAAAGACCTATAAGATATGATATTATATTAAATTGATGCCTTTATTTATTTGATCAATTTTTGGTTTTTTAAACTTTTTAAAGAATATTGCTCATTAAATTGTGAGACTAATTGATATCTATTAAAACTTATAGAAAATATACCAAAATTAGTAAAATTAATTAATCTAATTAATTAATCTAATAAAAACTAATTATTATGAGTATAATAATAAGACTTACTCTATTAGAAGATCTACACAAGGAAGACGTTGGACCAGCAAAACCCTGTTGCAAAGGACCTACTTCTCCTACATAAAAGATAGGTTGATTTGTTGCATTCTTAAGCCCCTATCAACAATAAAAGTATTCTATTTATATATGATTTTAATTTTTGATATATTTTACACATTAGATTACTACATTGCTTTTTAGACATAGTTTGAAATATATTGCATATTATTAAATTTACTTATAGTAGTATATAAATTTCATTGAAATACTTGTTCTTTTCATGAAAATATTTCATTACTTTAAATATTTGTACTTTTTATGTAAAACGAAGCTTCTCATTTCATTACATCAAGCATTAAAAGTGATTATAAAGAATTTTTAACATCTTCTTATCATTTAATTCATTCATTCAGTTAATAGTTAATAAATATGATATTGTTAAGAATATTTTTACCTGATATCCATGTTCAAGTTCAGTATACGACATTTCAAAACAATCCTATTATAACTTAAATTTTGCATTAGTTCAGGTAAAACTGCTTTGTTTTTAAGTTTCAAATAGATTTAGAAAAAGATAATACAATCTTTCTTCTTGAGTTGGATTTCTATTGAACTAATCAACCAATGAGATTAAACAATGAATTTCTGGTTAAATCACAATATAATATATCTTACAATGAATCCATGTGGTGTTCGCCCTAAAATCGCCCTCTGACAAACACGTTGACAATCAGAATATAGCATTTTCAATTGTGACGTCATCGGCAATATGGCCGTATACTTGCGGGCAAAATTTTAATTTGTGCTTAATTAGTTTTAAAAATATAAGATATTGGACTGTATTAATCTTATACGATACCAAGTTGTTTAAAATCATCATTCCATATACTTTCAAAATATGATTAGTGCATTATGTATGCAGAAAGCTTTGTCATATTTAATTATTTCCGGTTAAACATTGGGTGTTTGATCGCGCGCTGTAGTAATTAGTTTTCATATTCATAGCAATCGACGTACCGGTCATAAAAAAATATTTTTTGCATAATATTTATTTTTACGTATAATATCGTTTGAACCATTAATTTTTTGAATAACTGATTATTAAAATCAAATAAAAGCCACATATTAGGTTATTTCTTTATAAGTAGGGAAAGCAGACAAAGTGACTCTGACTTAAGATTTGTATCAAACTTATACAAATTTTGTACACATTCTTTCGGAAAAAAAATTTATATAGATTTTGTAGGGGAAAACCTTATTAAAACAAGGACATTCAACCGAATTGAAAATGAAATCAACTTTGAGTCTATTTTTGAGACCTAAAAATGATAATTGAAATTCATTAAAGTAGAATGAATCTCTATCCACTTTAACCCATTAACGCCGAAAAAGCCAAAAATCTTAACTTTACTTTGCGTTTATTTTTGAAGTACTTAAACATCAAGAATATGACTAAAAATGACTTACTTTATGTTTTTGGGGTCGCTCTACAAGATTCTAAAGTCGAAATGTTGATTAAATTTCAAGAAAAAAAATATGGCGACTTTTTACGAGAAAAGCACTGAAAAATTTGTCGAGAAAAATTTAAAAATAAAATTTTCTATCAAAATAACATGTTTTTATTCAATAAAAATGAGCACAGGTTTGCACAAACATTTCAAACTTTCGAAATATGACCTATAAAAATTAAAAATTCAAAAATGTAAGTCTAAAAATGGCGGCGAAGTAGAATTTTCTTTTTTAACGTCAGAAGCATTTTTCTCGAAAACTAAAGACTTTCGCGAAAAATTTTTAGGATCAAAAAAGTCTTAAAATTGGCCAAGAAAAACTCACAAATTTTTTCAGATTTTTTTTAGGCAATTTTCGACTTTTTGGAAAATTCGGAATTCGTTGAAGGTTTCAATAATTTTGTTTTCAAAAACAAAAGACTTTTGCAACAAATTTCTAAGAACAAAAAAGTCTTAAAATCAGTCAAGGAACACTATCAAATTTTTTCAAAATTTTTAGACATTTTTGGAAAATTGGATTTTCCAAAAAGTCGAAAATTGTCTCAAAAAAATCTGAAAAAATTTGAGAGTATTTCTTGGCCAATTTCAAGACTTTTTTCATCCTAGAAATTTTTCGCGAATGTCTAATTTTCAAGAAAAACGCTTCTGAAGTTACAAAAAAAATCTCTACTTCGCCGCCATTTTAAGACGTACATTTTGGAATTTTTAATTTTTATAGGTCATATAGGAAAAAATGGGAAATTTATTTAAGAACAAACTCCCACGATGCAGAGCTAACCGCCGCTCCGTTAAACACGTATAGATGTACGTGTATTCGCCTTTGCGTCAGGTGATTCCGCTTAATTGTCTTCAATCCAACGGAGTTGAACTCACCTTAAGTCACGTGACTTGTGACACTCGATGTATCTTAGGTGTGGGCGGCTTTGCGCCTAATCCGTTTAATCCCCTAGATCTAATCGGATTAAAACCTAAGCCTTTTACAAATCGCTTAAACTAATGGGAAATTAAATGACGTAATCGGCGAATGAATTTGACTAACTTTAATTAGTAAAAAAATAACTACAGTCTTTTATGGGCCGAAAGACTAATGCACGCGAATAGGATTTTACAATGAATTGTTATTCGGTGAGAGAGATAGATAGATAGATAGATAGAGTCTTTATTTGCATGATACAAAAATATAACAATCAGTGTACGCGCAAACACGTACACATCATACAACATGTGCTTATGAGAGTATATACAAATAGGTTGATGATCGATAACATAAATCATAAAATACACTCAAACAGACTAGATAGACTAGAACACGTTATCATCAGTTCTTATTAAAACATATCATCAAATCCTCAATTGACTAGAGTCAGTTTACTTAAAACTAGTAAGGCAGTCTGAAGTCAAAACTGTCATCGTACATTCATCAACCTGTATAACCATAACTCCAGTAGCACCCCTCAGTGGCCTATGCATTTAACGCTGCAAAATACTTTCGTGCCCCCCTCTTGAAGCTGCTAAGCGACGGCGCATGCCTCAGTTTAAACGGAAGGGAATTCCAGAGTCGAGCTCCCATGATCCTAAAGGATCTGTGTGCCGTCTCCGTCCTTGCTTTAGCCACCCTCAGTTCGGCCTGTCCCACTCTGCCCGGATATTTCGATTTATGCATATTAAACATCGTCGCCAAGTAGTCCGGTTCGCGCATTCGCAGGCACTTATACATCTGCAGAGATGCAAAATACTCCCTGCGAATGTCCATACATAACCAACCTAACCTTTGTCTGAACAGAGAGACCGATGCATCACGTGGGATGCCAAAGACATACCTCACACACGCATTGTTTAATTTCTGCAGTCTTTCCCTCTGCTCTGTCTCCGCATATATGTCATTTGTGTCCTTGTTAGTCACAAAAATAATAGCTTTGGTCTTGCCAGCATTGAGGCGCAGGCCCGATTCCCTGGCCCAGCCCACGACCAATCCCGCCGCTTTTGACAGTATGCTGATTCCTCTCGTCAATTCTTTTTTCGGTATATGCAGATAAATCTGCAGGTCATCTGCATAAAAAAGGTGCGAAACCCCACGTCCACTAAGTACATCTTTCAGGTCATTGACGTATAGACAAAACAAGAGCGGTCCCAGCACCGAGCCCTGCGGCACCCCCAGATTGGTCTCCCGCCAGTCCGAGCTCCCACCCTTAGAGGTTACTCGTTGTGAGCGACCTTGTAGGTAGGATTTCAGCCACAGAAGAGCAACACCAGAGAAGCCAAGGGCACGGAGCTTGCGCAAAAGCTTTGAAGGTGACACGGTGTCAAATGCCTTGCTGAAGTCAAACAACAGCAAGAGCGTCACCATTTTTTCATCAACGGCCATTCGGATGTCATCTGTTAGTTTTATTAGCGCGGTCTGGGTACTATGATTCTGCCTAAAACCAGTCAGGAAGGGATCCAGAAGTTGACTTTTCTTTAGATACTCCGTGATCTGGTCATGGGCAAGCTTCTCAAGCACCTTTGACAGGAAGCAGAGCAGCGCTATCGGACGGAAATCCGATGCCGAGGAGGGTGCAGTATTTTTCCTCAAGGCTATCAGCTGTGCCCGCTTCCAGGCACCCAGGAACACTCCCCTAGCAAATGAGGAGTTGAATATGGTCCTCAAGTGCCCGCCCATTACCGGAAGAGCCTTCGCCACCACCCCATGGGGAATTCCATCAACTCCGCTCGCTTGTGATGTAAAGTGGGAAACAGCTAGGACGACATCGCTTACGCTAACTGGCGTAAAGGTAAAACCCTCCTCGTCCATAACACTCACTCCGTCCATCCCAGCGTCTATATCTTCAAGCATCGCGACAGAAACCCCAGCAAAGTGGTCATTCAGCTCGTCCAGGGCGAACCCATGAAGCCCATCCCCACCCGCACCAGGCAAGAGGCCGAGGCTACGCATTTCCTTCCAAATATTCTTTCCTTCATCGAGAGCATTAGATAAATGATTGTGAATGAACTCAATACGCTCTCGTTCTATACGCGCATCGACCTCGTTGCTAAGCCTTAGAGACTCATCCAAGACATCCGCCCGCCCAGTACGCTTGTAGCGTCTGCGCATAGCATCACGCCTATCAACAAGTCTCCTCAACTCAGGACCAAACCAAGGAGCATATTTCTTTCTAAGGCAAACTACCTTCTCAGGTGCAAGTACGTTAATGGCTTCGGTCAAGTTATTACTAAGACCCTCAATAGCTCCCTCCAGATCTGTTTCGGCAGACTCGGTCATTGCTCAATCACAGGATCTTAAAAAGTCCTGAAGCTTTTCAGGGCAGATACCGCGGATGTTACGGTATGTAAAATTATCCCTCGGCGGAGACGGCGCGTATATGTCGATCGTGACATCAATGATGGCATGTTTGCCAAAACCGGGAAGCAATTCCGCCTTATAGTCCTTGATGGTGTCACAGGAATCAGTCAGCATGACATCGATCCACGTGTGAGAGTCTCCCACATGGTGAGTCGGGCCATGCCGGACTAGCCCCAGCGACAACTCATCACTTAGTCGCTTGATGGTAACAGCATCATCCGAGCCCGAGGTCATGTCAGCATTGAGATCACCCATGATGATCTTATGGCTAAAACCATCACAAAGGTCCCTCAACACCTCGAACAGATCCGAGCCCTTCTGAAAGGGCACCTTTGGTGGACGGTAGATCACTCCGACAAGCACCGAAGGGGAGCCGCCCGTCTCAACACTGCAAAAGAGATACTCAGGTATTCCCGGTTTACCTGGCCTCTGCGTAGCAGAAGATGCTAGTTGTTTAATTTTGAAGTTCTCGCGTATGAAGAGAGCAACTCCACCCCCATTCGTGTTGCGATCGCATCTTATTACCGTATAACCCGGGACCTGTACAATGTGGTCTTCAACCACGGGCCCCAACCAGGTCTCGGCAAGTCCAAAAATGTGGTAAGTGTCATCCCCAGCCAGGAACAGTCGCAGCTTCTCAACCCTTGCTCGTAGCGAGTTTATGTTGAGAAAGCCAGCCCTGAGGAAGCCACAGCGATCCGCAACACCCGCGGTGCCTGCCTTTGCGAGTCATGCCGTCCCCTTATCGATGGCAGCGCCCTCATTAACAGGACCCGCATCCCCCGCCACGTCCCTTCCCCGCGGCACGGTCCCCAATGTCACCGACGACCCTGATCCGCTCCTTGAATCCCATGCCGTCCTAATGGCCTGCAAATCTGCCTCCGTCTCGAACGAGCTCACCCTCTCACCCACCCTTCTTCGAACCAAGAACCGTCCACCACTGTGCCATACATACCTGAAGCCAAGTCCCCT